ATGTTTATTACTATTATGTTTATTTTTGCTAAGTATTGTTATCGAAGATTTACTGTATTAACATTTATGAAACGTGCTAAATTGTGTTGTCTGAATAGATGTGTAGTAAAAATAGAATATTACACACAATAAAGTTAAATGCGTTACTTTTTAAATTTATTTTTAAACAATAATACAAATTTTAATTAATATTGAAATAATGTTAAGTGACTCCGTGGCAGATTGGTGGGTACATTGTTTTGCGTAGATGAGATCCAGGGTTCGACTTTCGGTCGAGCCAATTTAGAGACCGTATTTTTTTTAATTGGTTCATGGTTGGGTGTTCAAGGTTGTACCCCAAAGGGGAAAAACAGTACTATTTTAATATATTATATTTATATTTTTGTAAAAATAGTTATAGTATTGACTACATTACGATTTAATAAAATGTAAAGATAAAATTTTTTACAGGAAATATGTAACATACTAAGAACATCACATTTATTAACTTTTAGCTTAAACTGAGTATTTTTATTAGTATTATTTTAATTTACTTAATTTTCACGTATTTAGGAAATTTACAGATAAGAATATTATTCCGTAGTTGTAAAATAGAAATTATAAATAAGCATAATACATAAATTTAAACTGAAGGTCAATTCATATAAGTATATACAAATAATATTTAATTATGGAGATTATATTTTACACAATTTGTTTAGTTTTTTATCTCCTTGCGGTGGCGGAGTAAGAATACAATGTATTTGTATGTTATATTGTATTCTTACCAGGGCCGTAGCTAGATCCAAGTTTAAGGTAGGGCAAAATATTTTTTTGGTAGGGCAGAAGCCATTCTTAAGAGTTTTTAAAAAAGCGAAGCCGTCTAATTTTCAATTCAAGGTAGGGCTTTGCCTGAGTCGGAGCCCGCAAACTGGTGCGGGCCAACGCCGTTGGGGCTCGATGGACTTTGAAAGGGAACCCAGGTCCCCAACATTATGGCGTGGCGAGGGATGCCGTGGGGTAGGAGTCCAGCAGTACCCATAAACCTCCCACGGGGCGTATAAGTCATTTCCCAACGTTAAAAAAAAGGGCTTGCCTCTCAATGCCCCCGCCTAGTTACGGTCATGATTCTTACACTTTGTTTTATGTCTTGAATATGCCATATAAACAGGTTTAACACATAGTACCGGCACCAGGTAGTGCGTGATAGAAACGAAGATATCCACAAAAGAACCAAAATAACCGACATAGCCCGAAGGATAAGTAAGCTAAGTGGCAATGGGCTGGTAACATAACTCGAAGAACCGACAACCGATGGGGAAGAAAGGTTCTTGAGTGGCGATCGCGTACGGGCAAACGTAGGTAATTGTAATGTAGGGCGACCCTCCACTAGATGGAGTGACGACCTAAAATGCATTGCAGGGAGTCAGTGGATGCAGATGGCTCAGGGCCGTTCTTTATGGCGGTCTATGGAGGAGGCTTATGTCCAGCAGTGAACGGATAGTGGCTGAAATGATGATGATGATGGCAGGCACCAGTTCCTACAAACAATATTGTTAAAATGTTCTGTATGTTATAGGTAGTAAATTCCCTAATTGTTTGTGGTGAGAAATAAATAAATAATAATAATTTTAACATATTATAATAAACATGTTTACAACTATAATGTCGAGTGGGATAGTCAGATGTATTTTTCAATTGTTGCTTATGTAGTGTACGTAACACTCGATATGCCTTGTGTGAATGTGAGAAAGACTCTGTTTTCCGCGCTTATCTCATTTGGGCCGTTGTGCGTGTGATTATTTTTTTTCTTCAATGGGTGTTTCGATAATGATGAATGGATTACGTGAGCAGCTCGATATGCCTTATATATTATTATTTTTTTAATGGATGATAATGGAATGGTAAACCCCGCCTGCGCTAACGGTATACGCTGGCGGGGCACCAGTGATAGATGATAGGTGAGGATGAAAAGGCAGGTCAGTTAGCCCATCGTGATGAATACACTTGGAATTCAGCACGATGGTTTCCAAGAGAGACCACGGGGAGGTCGACCTGTTAGGGTATATTATTAGCAATGGAACTGATAATCCGCATTACTAACAATCCCTTCTCCTCCTTGTATATTATTACAATATAGTAGTAGGTGGTAAATTTACCGTTGTCTTTCAGAAAATTAAGCCCTAATATTCATACGTTGCCATTTTTAAGGACTAAAACGATGTTCCCTTGAAGTCTGTAAATTCACTGCTACATCCTATCCTTTAAACTTGGCGGTAAAAAATCGCTCTTTGGTAGTTTACCTTTGGAGGGAGAGATAGTATTATTAGTAATGGAAATAAGCAACCCCATTGCTAGCAATTCTGATCGACTTCTTTAAGGTTTCCCCTGGAAACTATTGTGTTTGATTTATTGTTGAGTTTGTTAAAATGGGCCAACTGATCTGACTTTATCCTTACCTATCATTCCTCATTGGTTTTCCGTCAGCAAGCATTAACAGATAGCGCAAGCAGGGTTTCTATTCCATTATTATCTATAAAAAAAAACTTATCATTGGAAAAGACAAATACGTTAATACCTCGCTATATATTTATGTATCTCTAGCATATAGAAATGAACAATACATAATATACTGTGACATTCTTGAGACTAAAGTTTTATGTCTCGCATATGTTGTAATAGAGATTTCATTGGCTTTTTATCATTCAATTCCTATTATTGTTATAAAAGTAATAGTCTTTTGACATTTGAATGTTTAGTATTATGTTTAATCAAATAGGTATCCATGTATGTATATATCAAACTATTTATAATTACTTCTCGGCATCCAAAAGTTGTCTGGAAGAGATCGCTTTTAGCGATAAGATCGCCCATTGTTTTCTCACTGTGATTATTACTTGTAATTGTTTGTGTCTATAAGTTTCCTATTGTAATCTTTTGTAGGAAACAATAAAGAGTTATCTATCTATCCATCTATCTATATACTCGTACACTTTCTTCAGTATACTTACAATCTTTGCAAATTGTAGCAGAATTCGATATTCGATATTCAATTTTTTTTTTTATTTTTGTATATTTTCCATTTAGTAGACCACCAGCTCGTCTCTTATTTTAAAGTTACATAAAAAAATGTTTTGAATGATAGATAATCGACAAACGTCATGGTACTGGTATTACTGTGGTATCACCTATGTACTACCATGTATTACTATGCGGGCACGTTATGTACCAATGACAATTTGGTATTTACAGAATCAAATTTTTAATACTTTTCAAATGTAACAAAAATTTGGTATTTTTATGTAGCAAGTATATATCAAGAATTTTTCTTTCTGATAAATTCTTGAGTGGCGATCCCATACAGAACCTACTACTAGAAGTACTTGTGGTGAAAAACATCACAACCCATTGTAGGGAGTGAGTGCATGTAGGTGGTTCAGGACCGTTCCTTATGGATATTTATGGGGCAGATTTACCTTGAGCAGCGGACAGATGATGATGGTAATACAACTAATACTACTTTCCATCAGTTGGATCGTCAACTTCCTTGCTATTCCATGTCGCATAAAAAAATCTAGGAAAAGTACGTGAGTGCAAGATGTGCCACCTCTTGCTGAAGAACATGCGGGAGTGAAAAACTGGCTTGATGCTATACAAGTTGTGATGGGAGAGATTGAAGGGAATTGTTAGTAAATGGTACTGGAGGCCCCATCAATATATGCTGTCAAAAATATACCTATATATATATATATATATATATATATATATATATATATATATATATATATATATATATATATACCGCTTAGAAAACGTGACTTGAAATTGGCGTTTAAATTTCTGCAATTTTAGATTTCTATAAAGAGAACTATCAACTTCCAGAACCAATTCCATTATTTCAACTTATATTACGAAACTTATATATTCATGATGATTGAAACTAGTTTCACCTTTATTAATAGTAGTTAAAAAATTTAAATAATTGCACCTCTGTGAAATCGATTTATATAAGGTTATTTATCTAAGCATTTTTCATATAAGGAAATTAAATGATAATAATATGTCTGATGAAGACATATGTATACGAAATAGCTATAATAGCTATATATGAGTAGGTATTTTCAACTGATTTCAAAAAGAAAGAGGTTCCCAATTAGGTTTATTTATATTTATCATATCATATCACCATAATCATCATTTCAGCCATTTTCCGTCCATAGGCCTCCCCCATAGAATAATGCCACGCCATAAGGAACGGTCCAGAGTCATCTGCATCCATTGATTCCCTACAATGCATTTAAGGTCGTCACTCCATGTAGTGAGAGGTCTAGAAGGCTACTTCTTCCTTTCCCGTAGGCGTCGTGGGAAGCGCCTTATTAGCGGTCGAGGTATGGGTAGCAGGATCCCGTTTGAAACACCTCCAAGGTCAAGTGCGGTTGCCAACCCGTCTGCCAAGCATGGTAACTACTAGGAACCCCCCCCCACCCCCTAGAGGGAGGCCTATATTTAGCAGTGGATAATTAACGGCTGATATGATAACATTAGTTACTATGCCTCACAAGGTGTATTTTTTTACTACGAAGTTACCGACTAGTTTTTTTTTTATGTAACGAAGATGACAAACAATCCGTTTGAATGTAAACGGTCACTGTAACCTATGGACGCTTGCAACACTAACGGTATCACGTACGCTTTGCTGATTCTGAAGAAACCTTTGGGAAAATTTTGGCAGGGAGTTCATTCCACAGCCTGTGCGTTCGCGGGAAAAAACCCCTCTGAAACAGGTTAGTATTCAGTATTCAATACTTTCTGATCTACTTTAAAAAACTATGATATATATATATATATTACTAGTAAATTAATAGAAAATTAAATTAAATAAATTAAAGTAAATTAAAGAAAGAATAGGATTATAAAAAGGAAAAAATTCTACTGTTTTTAATATATAGATGTATGTAAAATGGTAGTTTTATTAGCAAGTAGACTGTTAATTAAAATTGTGTACCACAAAAACAAAAAAATGATTTCTGAATGTAATTATCTCTTATTACATATATATACATAGAAAGAAAATTTAATTCTATGTTGTAATAATTATTAGGTATATAGATATTTTAGTACATATCTTTATTGAATACAATTATTTCTTGGCAACATCAAATATAAACAAAATCACAGTTTTGGTTATTTTTCATAAAAAATAATTTACTAAACAATTAGTTGAAACAAATAATACAACCTATATCACAATTTTTCGGACTGTTAACTGATCTTTATATTATTATGATAATATAATGATAATGTGTCTTGGACAGGAATTTACCCACATAAGGGTGCAAAACCTTCGCATATGGTCTCCTTCAATAATAATATCCAACTGAATAGCAGTCTTTATATTTTATCAAGTCGCTGAATCAAGCCCACTAAGCCTGGTTAGAATTATATTTAAAACTAGTCGTATTCCGTGGCTTCACCTGCATAAATACCTACCTACCTATCTACGCGTGTACTAAATTTCATTTAAATCCATTCAGTACTTTTTACGTGACAAACTAACAAACATCCATCCACCCCTAGTTAAAAAGTTTCGTATTTATACTATATATTTAAGATATTTCTTATGTTTTATTTTTCTAGTCACCTCAAAATAGCAGTTAATTCTACAATTTTATTAGGGGTATAATCTTAAGAAATAAGGCTTTATAAAGCTCATGCTTATCTAATACTTAACATTTACTAAGACACTCAAAAATAGATGAGTCGATGTAAGCAATTCTATATTAAAAATAGTTACTATTTAAGACAAACAAAAAAAAAAACATTATACTAATATCTATGAAATTACACTTTGGTCATAGATAAAATGTTATGTATGTTTTGGCTCAGCTCTCTGCTAAAGTACCCGTCAATTTTCCAGCATTGGATACGGTGCTATATAAGTGAAAAAATAAATATAACAACAGTCCCACGCATATTATAAAAAAGACGATACAAAAACAAACTATACATTCGGATAAATATATTTTGATTCGATCTGTGCGGCTCATCCGGGGTCCTGGGATGTCCACGCTTGAATATGACCACATTTTCTTTTTTCCTGGAAATAAAAATATAATAATTACTCTTTTACATTGTTTTATGTAACTTGAAATGGTAAACCAGTTGACGACCCACCTGAAGGAAAGTAGGAACCGTCGCCTATAAACATGAGCAGTACCATGGACATAACAGACTATTTCGCCCATGATAGCCCTCCATGTCTTGCCATTCCTAACGTCTTGCCATTCCTAACGACTGAAACACAGTCATGCAAACACAACTGTGTTTTTTTTCTTACTGGAAGAGATCTGAGTAGCAGTCGTACGCATTATAATGGTAGTGGAATTAAACAAAATAATTTTAATCAAATAACCAGTGATATTTGCCATGTGGTCCTGGCATAGAATGGATTATTCCTTGCTTTCCGGTGGGTGTCGTAAGAGATGACTAAGAAAACTTAATGGTTGAGAAATGGGCAGCAGCGTTCCTTTTGAAACATCCTAAACTAACCAAAGCCTAACTGCAGTTGCCAATCCGACTGCCAAGCGTGACAATTACTGGCAAAACCCCTCAAGGGGGAGGCTTATGTTCAGCAAGGGACAGTTAAAGGCCGTTAATGATGATGATGATAATGTTAAACTGTTATTTGTTTATTTAGTTACCACTTTCCATTAAAATGACAACACATGGGCCGTCAGCTTGTTTGATATCCATTCTTTATAGGTATAAAAAAAAAAAAAAAAACTTATCATTAGTATAGAAGTTATCTTGTTCGCCATTCCAAGTTGAATAAAAAATATATGTCGTTTATTTTGTACAAGAAACTATTCATCAATTTTATTGAGAAAAAATTGTAACAACATTTCAAAATTGCAGTAACTGATGCATAACGTAGGCTTTCGTTTTGTACTCATAACAGTGTAGATGTAGTACAAGTAGATATCAAACAGCGAATAAAACGTTTTTGCACTAGTGCACCAATATTATGTAGTTTTTAGTATTTTTTTTTTAACTTGCATTGAGAAATGTCATAAAATGCATATACTTTTGAAAGTATCATTGTATCGATTTGGATGCTTATTATTAAGTTTGGCCTCAAAATAAGCATACAGTCTATTTAGTCATGAGTAGAATGGCGACCCTTAAGAAATCTTATTACGTTCTTTTTGAAGAATCTCATTAGAAAGTATAGAAAATTGAAGTACAAATCTGTGCCTCTAGTGAGAAAGGGTTCAATTCAAAATGGTCACTTTTCAGGAGAGCCAAAAAACTATTTTATATAAAAAAAAAATTCAGTGCTTTTATTATTTACTAATTGAACAAGTCAATGATTGCATTTATAGTAATTTTTTCTCCTCTTTCTTATGGAATTGTCGGTTTTTGTGTAAAACCTATAGTTTTAAAAATAATTCTATTATACCTAATCACAGTTAAGAAAAATGTATTAAAATTATCATGTGAAAATAGTTTTAAGTTGAATTAAAACGATTTTATTGAAGTATTGAAGAAAAACAATGTTGTGTATTTTACGCTATAAAAAATAATCGCTATTAAATGGTGTAAAAGGTTCAAATCGAACTGATTCATTTTACAAAATAATTTTTGTAAAATATTGTATGTTTTATTTCTAATTATGACTTTTTTACCACAAATATTTTGTTAATTGTAGCCTTTTACATGTTTACTATCTCTATTGTTTTTAAAGATATCGTTACGATTCTTATACCATTCGAAAGAAAAAATTTATTACTTATTTAAAGTAGAAAAAAGAAAAAGGCTTGAAGAAAGAACTTGAGTTATACCCTTTCTCACTAGAGGCACAGAAATTATCGCAACATTGTGTGCATTTGATTCTTGTATGAAAACTGTGAAACTATTTAATATAAATAGAAACATTGGAATTGAAAATGACAAATGTAAAATTAGTAATATAAAAAAAAGAAGGTTATCGATATTTGTTGGATTTTTTAAAATTTTGTATAATTAAAATTTAAATAATTTTTTTAATTTATTTAAAACCATGACAAAAGGAGCTTATGTTTTTTTGTTTCTTCAATATGTATACCATATTTCATAAAGATTGATTAAGTTGCAAAGTAACCCAAATTCAGACACATACACATTCATACACACAGACACATACACACAGGCATAAAACACACACACACACACAAACACACACACACATATATATTTAATAATATTAACGGTGTAACCTTAGATTATATAGACAGTGTATCTCCATAAAATGCTTTGAGAAAGAGGGGCAACTTTTTCATACAATTTTACGTGACAAATAGTTATGAGTTGGGGGGAAGGGATTGTTAGTGATTGGGATATAACGACTCCATTGCTAGCAATACACTATGTCAGGTCGACTTCGGCGCAGTTCCCCTTGGAAACCATCGTAGTAACTCATACAGAATCCCTACGATGGGCTAACTGACCTGATTTCGTCCTCATACTTATCTCTCACTGGTGCCTCGCAAGCGTATACCGATAGCGCAGGCGGGTTGCCATTCCATGTTCACCCATTAAAAAAAATAGTTATGAGTGATTCCTTTATAACTTCTATATTTATTTTGTCTTATAATTTTTGCATCTTTTTAACGGATAAACATTCATATTATTTATTAAATACTACGCCAAGATACATTTTATGTGTAAGTATATAGAACACTGGCAAAAAGAACGAGTGAGCTAATTTGACAATTAGCTGACAAAAACTTAATCCGTTTTGAGGCTCGATGCTCCATCTTAACACTTATTTCTAGTCAAATGATTCAAAATCTATCATATTTGTATAAAATTCAGTATTTGTTTGGATTGAAACTTCCGTAGTCCTAAACACTGATTGAATAGTAACGTTTGCATCTAAAAACAAAGTCAATATTGTGACTACGGTTATTAACAGTAGTTAACACGTGGTGTAACTGTGCTAATGGTCTCGACTTTATTTCGGAGCGATAATTTAATTTAATTATAGACAATTTGTGTTAGGTTTTTTTTAATAGGTGAACATAAAATGGTAACCCCGCCTGCGCTATCGATATACGCTGGCGGAATACCAGAGAGAGATGATAGGTGAGGATGAAAGCAGATCAGTCGGCCCATCGTAAAGAATTCTTCTAGAATTAACCACGATGGTTTTCAGAGGGAACCACGATGGTTTTCAGAAGGAACCACGTTTAGGTCGATCTGATAGGGTATATTAGCAATAGGACTGTTGAACCCCAATCCTAACAATCCCTTTTCCTCCATATAATCGGAGTTATATCCTAAATATACATTGTCTGATTATTCATAATACAGAATAAATTTATTTATAAAAGTTAATAAATTAAGTAATTGGCTAAATTATTTAACTTACACTGAGGGGAAAGGAATTGTTAGTAATGTGATCTAACAGTCCCATTACTGGTAATATAACCTATCAGGTCGATCACTGGAGTTATTATTCCATTTTCACGTATTAAAAAAAGATGGTCGATTATATATAGATATAAAAGTCTGTTTCATGGAAAACGATTGACAGAGTATATCATCAGGCAAGGCCAACCTGTACATATATTTTAATGTGTGCAAAAGAATAAATAAATGAAGCAATGTAATTTATAATTGTATCATGAAGATCGTCATATTCATGAGTCGAAAAGATATATAAATAGATAGAAATAGTAAAAAAAAATAGTAATTTTGTATGTTTAATATGAGTCACGCTGATATGACTTCATTATTTACGTACGTACGTACGTATTAACGTAATGTATGTACCTATATAACTGAACGTTATATATGTACATACATTACGTTACGTTTGCCAAAAATACAAATAATGATTAACAGTACGGTGGTATTGTTCGTCGTATTACCATATTATCTGTAAGTATATTGTAAATGCAAAGAATTTAAAAAAGTTGATTCTTGAATTTTTGAGTTTCCATCTTTCAGTTTTGTTTTGACTTGTAGTTCGCATCTTACAAAGTTCTCGAATTTAATATTAAAAAAATATCATCATCATCATCATCTTCCTGTCTTTATCATAATTATTTGGGATTAGTGTCATATGGTTTAATTTACTACCTGCCTGATGTTAACATTAATACATATAAATTTTATACGTATATTTTTTAATGGTAAGTAAGCTGAGGGTCCACCTGATGGAAAGTGGTAACCCTCGCCTATAACTGTGAACAGCACCCATTTGTTAATAATAAACATACCTTTCGCTTTCTATTCTATAACTCCCACACAACATGAAGATTTTTGATATAAACTTTATTCTATGTGATTTTATTTATATATTTCTATTAATAGCATAAAAGCAAGACCACAACACAGTAATGATTCTTGAGAATCTCACGATAAAATCTTGCTTAATTGGAGTCTTGGGAAATTATAAGAGAAAATAGGTACCTAATTGCAGTGTTCACGATCCAAATCAATAATAGTATGTACCCAGTCGATAGCTATGGGTAGATTATTATAATAAGTTATTCTATATGCAAAGCTAATTAGATACGCATTATATTTTTTATTTTATTTACTTATTCAATTATATTTAGTTTTTTTTTATTGTCGAATTATAGGATTTTCTTTTCTCATTTGTCGTTATGTTTAAAAATACAAGTTTTTAGCCTCCACAGTCAATGGCAGATGTTGATAGATTTGACTGTTTATTAGTAAGGCCAAGTCTTGTTATCCTTATATAAATAAATAATAAATAAATAAAATTAATTTTATTCAAGTAAACTTAATAATAAGCATTTTTGAATAGTAATTTTTTTATGAATATAGCGTCCAGTTCGGAATGCAATTTCAGCTAAGAAGAACAGGTAAGAAACATGGCTGTTGCTTTTTTTTTTCAAATAAGAGTTTAGTGTACAACAAAAAAGAATATGACTGGATAGAATGACTATCACAAACTTCGTATTGATAAAAAAAGAAAAAACCTACAACGCTTATTATATTAATAATATAAATATGAATGTATGAAGTATGTTTGTTTGTTACTTTTTAGTGCTTAACCAATCACTATAGAATTTGGTACACACGCACTATATGGAATGGAGGATAAAGAGTATAGGTTATTTTTTTTTATTCCTAAGTAATATAGTCGGCGGGGGGAAAGGGATTGTTAGTAATGGAGACTAAAAATCCCATTGCTAGCAATATACTTAACCAGGTCGACCTCCACGCGGTTCTCCCTGGAATTTATCATGATTAATTCCTGATGAATTCATCATGATAGGCTAACTGGCCTGTTTTCATTCTCATTTATCAGCCTTCACTGGTGCTCCGCCAGCGTATCCCGTTAGCGTAGGCGGGGTTACCATTCCATTTTCACCCAGCAAAAAAAATAAAAGTAAACATAGTCATCAACGCGTACGTGACACGCCTAGTGTTGCGGGCGTCATAGGCTACAGCGTTTACCATCTGACGAGCAATATGCTTGTACGCAATCTTTGTGGTATAAAAAAAAATCCAGTCTCACGGACGATGTCACGGGTAAAAGCTAGTGTGTCATAAAACAACAAATACAGGTAGAAATTGAAACATTAATACTATTTTTAAAATGTCTTGAACTAGGTAAATTTAACACTGTTCCCAAAAACACATGGGTTGAAATATTACAAAAAATTTATAGTCTACCAGTTTTACCAGTGGGAGACTTTGTACAAAAGTCGATTGCTTGGGTACCTCTGTCCAATTTGTGTTTCTACCGTGAAGCAGTTGTGTTTGCATAGCTGTGTTTCGGTTTGAAGGGTGGGATATGGCGTGAATTTACAAGGTACAGAGGAATAACATCTGAGTCCTCAGGAATGGCAACGCATGGGGGTATCATGGGCGAAACAGTATACTCTGTTATGTCCATGGTACTGCTCATGTCTATAGGTGACGGTTACCACTTTTCATCAGATGGGCCGTTAGCTTGTTTGCCATTCTAAGTTGTATAAAAAAAAAGTCTCCATAGTAACTTAACGATTGATGTGTGGATGGATGAATGATAGATGGTGTGACGATCTCAAATGCCTAGCAGGGATTCAATAGACGCAGATGGCTCAGGACCGTTCCTTATGGCAATCTATGGGCAATGCTTATGTTTTTTTATAATGGAATGGTATCTAACGGTATACGCTATCGGGGTACCAGTGAAAGATGATAGATGAGAATGAAAACAGACTTTATAATTTTGATTTCATTCTGTATAGATAATTTCATTTTAAGGATTTATTAAATTACTATGTATCTTATCTAATATAATAAAATTGTAACTACACAATGTCTGTACGTGAGAGATATGTAAGAAAAATTCGTAAGTAGTGTCTTAATAAGATTATCAGATGCCTAAACAATATTTTATAGAAATTTTGTCTGTCTATGTATTCGTAGATATATTTGTTCCGACATTACATAAAAACCACTGCAACAAATTCGAAAGGATTTTCATATTTATGTTCCTGAAGGACTAACTTAAAATCTGGAGTTTGTTTCATTTTGATATGCAACCTAAAAGTGGTCTATTTTTGACTTTTCCATTTATAAATTTTGGGCGTACGATGTAGCGGGCAAAAAGCTAGTTTAATTTAAAAATGAAATGTTTTTTGTTGTCTTTCGGAGGGAACAATAAAGAGTGTCCGTCTATCTATTTAATGTTCATGTGATCTCGTTTATATTATTTACAAACTTACTAAAAGCAAATTACACGGGTTCGCTCGTGTGGAACTCATATCTCCCATTCCTTTGGACGGGTATTAAAATGCTTCATACCAACTTTTCAAGCCTTTTAACTGATCAAACGGTAGAGAAAATTCTCTGCCGTTTGATTAGTTATAAAGTTTATGTTTTTATATTAGTGAAAAGTAGAAGTGTACTCGTAAGTCGTAGAACAATTCGTAAATATTAATTTAAACAACAAACTAAACAACTTACGACTTAACTATTTTACCACACTATTCTATTATTATAATATTCGGGGGGAAGGGATTGTTAGTGATACGGACTATTAGTTCTATTGCTAGCAATACACCCTGTCAGGCCCTGGAAGCCATCGTGCTGAATTCCAGGTGTATCCATCATGATAGGCTAGCTGACTTGCCTTTTTATTCTTACCTATCATACCTCATTGGTGCTTCCGTGTATACCGTAAGCGGGGTTACCATTCCATTATCATCCATTAAAAAAATATTATATTGCAACTGAAGAAACAATAGATTGGAGAGAATTAGTAAGATACAGAAATAAGTGTAGGTAGTGGAACAGTTTGACAATATTAATTTACATGATAAACTGAAGAAGTAGTTCGAGTAAAGACCTTGAGTGAGTTCAAAAAACTAACAATGTAATAATGCGTATATATTTTTAACGACATGCCCAGAAAAGCAAATAATGTCTAAGTTATATCGCTCAAATATCATCTTATTGAGAATGGCAATGTTGTAATTCTTAATGATACATCAATGTTAAAACGAGTTTGTTTCTTTATTAATCAATCCTGTTGGCGTCTTGACGGCTTAACCAATCGTCATGAAATGTAGTACATGGGTAGTATTTGAGATGAAGAAGGATATAGATTAGTATTAGTATTTTTATGTCGATATATCAGCATATCCCGGTCAAGAGGACGACGTCCCGCGTAAATCTATTATTTCGTAACATTAAGAAAATAGCACACAATCTCTTAAGACTTAATTTTTACATTCATTTTACTAATTATAACTTGGAAAGATACGAACAAAACGAGGTAAATAACATCTTACTTTATATTCCGCCAAAGGCTCCGTTATATAACTGCCACAATTGTGTTAACTTCGCCATGCTATCTTGTAAACTGCCCAAATATTTACTGTTCACATTTTGTTCAGTTAACGTCACGGCTTTTCCAGATAATTATTTAGGTGCGTACGCGACCAGCTACGGTTGTGGTTAGTAAACGTATGGTCGCGTAATACCTAAATAGTGTTGCTTGATAATCGATTATTCATTAATCGATATTATTCACTCAATAATCTAAAAATCAATTCGCGTATTGTTATTAATCGATTTAACTGATAGTATACACGTTGTGATAGTATTGTAACAACATCTGACCACACAAGGCTGTGTGAATAAAGGGACAGGTATGGGCCATAAATAAGGTCTTCCGAAAAGAGGACGTTCATCTCAACGATTGGCCACACTATAGTTTAATCGGATATAATCTAATAATCGATTATAATGAATGCAGTTATTATTGAGAGCGTGTTCGAATCAATACTACCAATTACATCTTTGAATTAATGGTAACTTAGTTTATAATCGATTTCATATTTATCAATTATTTGATACCTCTGTTGAAATACCGATTTCGAGTATTAATCGATATCCAAATGATTTTACAAGAAACACTAAGGTAGAAAACCATGAAGGACAATGTTATAATCGGCTCGGTGTCGACAATCGCATGCGCATACGACGCGTTTTGGTGAATGCTAGTGATAACATTGGTCGTATGCCGGTTATTTAATTTAAGTGGTGTTTTAAATTTGTTACAGCCTTCATAAAGTAATAAATTGAATAAATTTATAAGTGAGGGGAGCTTGTGATTCTACACAGAGTAGGTCATTATTTAAAAATCCTTAGAATAAAATATTTATATTTAAAAGGCTCTCAGTGAAGAGTAAATTAATTCATTTTCATCGATTCAGAATTAGCGGAGGTATTAACTAAACGAACAAGTAATTAATACACTTGTTTAATATGTTACGCGATATGTTTGCTAATTTCGAACTAATTTTGATAATTGTATTTTAATCTGTTGAGGTTACTTCTTAGTATGTTCCATATTAGGTACATTTAATTTATTGCAAAGCAAAATATTAAATACTATAGGTACACTTTTGGTGTATATATTTATTTGTATTTTAAAATACTTTTGCCAATTCTAAATCAATTTTAACGATTTATTTATTAAACTTAGTACATTTAGTACTCTTTCAAGAGTTACTCCCATATTATGTCTATAGTATTATCACATACTACATTTATTAACAGTAAATAATAGTTTATGGTACTACCGTATTGGTGTTTTGTTTTGTCAAGATTTAAGTTAGTTTTCAACCGACTTTAAAAAAAGGAGGATTTCAATTCTGTTGTATTTTTTATGTTTGTTTAGTTTTGTACTTATGAGCTATCTTACTCCGTCAGTTATAAAGGATAAAAGAAGGAAAAGGTCATACTTATAGGTTGGTTCCATAGAAATTTCATCTAAGTCAGTTTAGTGGTATAGTTTTGTTGAAACAAAATATTAACAATTAGCAGCCGGCATTGCCTTGGCATGTTTTTTTTTAATTATAAGCATATATTACTTACTGATAATGTAGTTGTCTATAGGTGAAACAAATTTTAAAATAGGCCAATTAGTTATGTGTTTATCCATTATAATAGAATAGAATAGAAAAATATTTATTCGGTATTTTACATATGATTACAAAATACAAAAGACATTTAACATTACACATCTTTTCTCTTTATAATATTAGTGTAGACATATTTTTTTTTATACAACTTAGAATGGCAAATAAGCTGACGGTCCACCTGATGGAAAGTGGTAACCGTCCCCTATAGACATGAGCAGTACCATGGACATAACAGAGTATACTGTTTTACCCATGATACCTCCCATGCGTTGCCATTCCTGAGGAATCAGGTGTTTTTTTTTAATGGATGATAATGGAATGGTAACCCCGCCTGTGCTATCGGTATACACTGACGGGGCACCAGTGAGGGATGACAGATGAAGATGTAGAAGGTCAGTTAGCCCGTCTTGACAAATTCAACAACGAATCAATCATGATGGTTTCGAGGGGGAAACGCGTGGAGGTCGACCTGATAGGGTTTATTGCTAGCAATGAGGTTGCTAATTCCCATTACTAACAATCCCTTCTCCTCCCGGAATCAGGTGTTATACCTCTGTACCCTGTAAATTCACGCCATATTCCACCCTTCAAACCGAAACACAGCCATGCAAACACAACTGCTTTACGGTTGAAACATGAATGGGACAGAGGTACCCAAGCAAACTTGTACCCGTAATACTAGTTCTCCGTGGAAGAGAAGAAGTGCAAGAACTCTACATTTAGCACTTTGGCTAGCGTAGGCTCTTTTATTAAAGAGAGAATCGCGTCCAGTTTATAATTCAGTCAAAAGTAGGATGCTACTGGATTATTGGATTATTCTGGTAAAAAAAAAAATAGAGAAGAAAGAGATAAAACGGTCTAAAAGCTTTGTTGTTAACCATATAGCTTATCAAGTTGACTACCACGTGAATCCCCGTGGAAATCATCGTAATTAATTCTGGTTAAGTTTATCATGACGGATTAACTGTCCTGTTTTAATCCTCACTTGTCATTTCTCACAGCGTATACCGATAGCGCAGGTGAGCTTACAGTTTCGTTGTCACCTATAATTTTTTTTATATATCTGAACATATAAAGAGGAAAGATTTGATATTATGTCTATAATAAATAAATGCAAAAATTATTTATACAATTTAAAAAATTATTCCATCTATAGAAAGCTACATAATCATCAAGTGATAGGCTGTATTTAATCTTCAAAAAACTATACGAAACCGGGGTGGATCCCTAGTGTCAAACAACTCCTAATAATGCATTGCATATGCAAAATATGCATTTGAATTGTGTTTATGTTTCTTCCTATCAAGTTTATGATATTATACGATTGTGTATGACTCCAGTAACTATGTATTGTAAATAATCATTTCTCATAAGATAAGGCCATTATTTTATTTTATAGCAACAATATCCCCACTAATCATATGATCGTTTTATTATTCGAATACCTTATCTATCTATATATCTTTATTAGTTGTAATTTAATTAAGTTTGGTTTAACCTTATTATTTTCAGAGTTATATTGATAAAGCATTCTAAGTCAATGCAATAAGGTTTAGTTTGGTTTAATTTTATACTAATTTTATTGTATGTTACCGTATCGATATCTATATTACGTAATTACATAAAATCCTTAAGTAATATTACAAATATGTAAGTAAATTTATTTGTTATTACGCCTGGGCACTGTAACGGCTTAATTAATCTAAGAAAAGTATAAAATCATGACCCTCCTTTTTGCTTTGCCGTAGTTGGGTAATAATTACGTAGTTTTTGGGATAGAAAAGGCCATAGGTTACTTTTTATTTCATTAATGAACGTACTTATCTCATGCGGGCGAAGTCGCGGGTAACAGTTAGTGTAAATAAACAAGTACAAATAAAAATAATAGCCAAATGCGTATTTTTTGGGTAGTTTTGATATTGGATAACAGGAATACATCAATTCCACATCGCACATTGTCATCATCAGAATAACATAATCTGAAGTGTTCGTGTAGGTGGCCAGTGAATTCATTGATGGAATAGACATCGCTAGCGAGTCCGTGAGATAGAATAAGATAGTAACGTCGAATGTCTCATTTTATCTCATCAATTCGCTTTTCGATAATAATTTCATTGATAGATTCGCTTGTCTAGGCGGGCTGGAATGTTTTATATATTCATTATTGCTCCTTTTCTAAAGTTTAAACTAAACTTTAGTTTTATTTGTATTGGAGTATATATCTATTTACATTTATTTCCTATCATAGGAAATATATATATTTGGTTAAATGAAGAAGGTAACTATACATTTAAGTAATAGTTAAAAAGTAAATGTAAGTAGTAAGTAATGTAATGTACCATGTAAGAAAAAGTTTGATTCCATATTGAAATGTTAGATGAAAAATAATCAGGAATAATTAATAACCTACTCATAAACATACTTGTTGCTCTATTTGCGACTTCATTCGCTTATAAGTAGTTAGTATCTATCTATATAACATCTGTAGACAGAATTTTTTGTCAAAATGTTTCATCAAAAAAACTAAATTCTAAAGTTTTTATAGGATTTATGCATGCATAAGCGTTTATGGATCAGTTAGGATTTAGGTAATTGTTAGTAATTATGATAGCGATGGACTAAGGAAAAAAAATATTTAAATTTAATTTGACGACAGAATTTACAAGAAATTAATTATGAATATACTTACAACCAATTATTAATAAGTGATTCTGATAACAATGGATTAAGATAAAATAAAATACATTTAAATATGGATTAGCGATAGAATTACAAGAAATTTAAACACGAATAACCAATCAGTAGCTATATATATATATATATATTATAATTATAAATAAATATAAGATTACGATAAGAATAAAATTTTTAAATTTGTATTAGCGACAGAATTTATAAAATTATTTATGTAAAAAATAAGAAGAGGAAATAAGCAGTACAATTACCAAAAAAACATATAGGTATTTAATTATCACACCAAAATATTTGTCTCTGTTGGAAATATCTTTTTGTTGTTAGTTCTAGTGATTTGTCCTATCTGTATAGAGATATTGATTGTCCTGTTCTGATAAAAAGTAACCTATTACCTCTTGCTCTTTATCTTTTCTGTCACGGAAATGGAAGGGGTGGTCCATTCTATGCCGAGGCTACACGACAATACAATAAATTTTAGGTATATATCAATTACTCGTATCAAATTACATGATAATGATTATTTTAATAAAAATTAATAAATGTTGAATTCGTCACGATGGGCCAACTAACCCGCTTCATCCTCACTTACTGTCCCTCATTGGTGCCTCGCTAGTGTATACTGGTAGTATAGCGCGATCCCTATTTCATCCTCATCTATTAAAAAAAAATATGTGTAAAGTTTCATCAAGGGAATATTTTTATTAAGTACATTAATATTACTGAAGTCAGATATGCGATAAAATATTTCTTTTAAAAGTCCTGTTCAAATTGGTACCTACTAAACAATGGCCTCCTTTCAAATATAAATAAAGTCATCGTGTCTACACATTTTATGTTACGAGTTCTGTTTAAAACTCCC